GTTTGCTTCCTTAAACGTGAAGCAATAAAAACATTGTCTGTCACCACACTGGGGAAGAAAAACCAAATTGAGAAACTTGAAGGCAGCTTTGATTATAGGATTCTGTCAACCAGCACTCCACTCCCTGTAAAATCTCCCTCTTCCCACTACAATTTCTATGGAGATTGCTCCAAAAATTCTAGCTACCCATAAATCTTTGACTCTTAACTAAATTTCACTCAAGGGTATCCTGATAACAGGATTGACAGAGCTTATCCCTGACTGTATATCACAAAATAAACACGCCAGCAGGGTGAGGGCAATTAGTCTTGGTGTGCCATGAAAATGACTAATACTGATTACTCTCTGATTTATGGCTGCAGTAATCCACCCTGACAGTGATGGTTCAGTGCTGAGAGCGGCGGCTCTGTTCTGTTTTTGTATGTGGTCTGATAGAAGGCACACGCTGTGCTGGAAATAAGCACTCACTGACGATCCACAAATATGAATTGAACACTTACTATGGGTCCAGCATCCCCAAATTTCAAACATCAGAAAGGGGTATTAACTGTAGTTGACAGTGTAGTGGAAGAGGAAGGGCACTGACATAAACTCACTTGGAAGGTAGAAAGTGATAGCGCCCGGATGGTTGTTGAGATGGGGCACATTGCTTACAGCTGTGGGGAGAGTCCAATGGGGCTTCTTGATCATTATCCATAAACAAGTCAACTCAGGCTCTTGGTTCAACCTGACAGTTAAGCCATATTTGCACCCAGAGTGGTGGAATAAAAGTGCTGTTAGAAACAACATACAAGATCCAACTGCATCAATACAAAAGGCAGCTAGCTTACCGTGAAACACACCGTTGTCCACCAGAAAATGCCTGCGGTACTGCACGCAGTTCCTTTTCTTCAAGTTCCAGTAACTCATGATCAACAAATTTCAGACACACCATCAACATCAAATTGCCCTGTCAAGGGAAACAGAATGAGACAAAAATGAGGAAAATGACAGCAGCACGTTCATACTGGTAGCGTAACGCCACCAGTTTACCAGGCATTAGGGGGCAACGCATTACAGGGCAACATATCTGGCATGCAACTTCTCCAGGCATGGAGCTGGAAACCCCCAGACCCTAAGAAACCAAGCACAAGTCTTCTCAAAGGCTAGAATGTCATTTACCATACTAAAATAGCTTTTTCGAATATCACCTGCTATGTCTAACAAATAGTTACTGTTGTCTACAGGGAAAATTAATCTAACAGGGAACACCTTTCAGGACTCACTTATGTGCTCCAGGCCTTGGTCATATTCGGCCAGGACCCAAGCCCATAAATGCTGGTGACTCTTCATGAAACTGCAGGAGCAGCGGGGGAGGTGGCTAACAGAAGGGTGACTAGCACTCCCAGTTCCTAAATCTTGTGTCAGGATCCCTCGGGTAGACTCCCGGACCCGTGGAAATCTTAGAAATGACAACAGCATCCGGGTAGCCCTGGAGAGGCCAAGCAACAGCAAAGCTTGCCTCCCCCGTTTTGAATTCTTCGCAGGTGCCCATTTAGGGCCACTAGGGCCTGGATTTGCCCAGGCTGAACTTATTGGTGTAACTAGAGTCGGTGCAGGCCTCAGGCAGGGTGAACAAGCCCTGCTCTTCCACACGGCTTGCCCCTCCACAGACAGAGAAACATAATGCTAACTACAGCGAGGACTTGAAAAGCTGAGATCTGAGCTGATAAATTAAGCTCCTCCAAAAGCTGATGTGCATAACTCTGAACAAGGTTCCCTTTGTTCACAGGGTTTGGCTAAAGCAACTTTTCAGAATTCCAACTTCTTTTCTGGTCACACAGTAAAGCCAGGCAAAACCAAGCAAGGCTGGCATGAAGGAAAACCCACAGGTGGGAAACAATTTGTCATCTGTCCTACTAAAGCAATCTAGAGTTTTGCAAAGGTACTCCAGGATGAAGTCCGCTGCTTAGTGAAAAAAAATAAATTATCAGGGCTTTGTCTATTCATTCATGGAACAATTGGAGCTAAAGCTGTGCCAGAGCTTCTCCCTGGCTCCCTAAGGCTCATTCTTAACCTTCCCCAACAGTGATCTGATCTAACCTAACTCCAACCTACCTACTTTTCCTCTCGCCGCAGACTTCGAAGCCCACAGGGTTCTTCGAGCCTCATCCCCTCCTGGCTAAGTCTGGCTCCTTCTCCTACACCCTCAGGCTGAAGATGAGTCCCACCACTCTCAGATAAAATCACTCATGGACCCAGTGGTAAAACATGACAGAAAAGGGCTGATTACGGAGATAACCTCCCCCATCTACCCTCTCTCCACCCAATACTGCATACAACAAAGATCTCTTTTTCAAAAAAGTATTTTAGTTAAATGAATCATGCAGTTATATATGCTCCTTAATTTAAAAAAAAAACTAAAAACTACTAAAATTCAATTTTCTTTTAAACTGAAAGTCCTCTCTTCCCTCATTTTATGTCATTCTCCTGGAATGACCACTTTTGTTCAAGAGTGTATCATTCCAGTTCTTTTCCTATGTATTTACATATATATATATGCATATATACATACAGAGGGTGCCAAAAAAAGTATACATATTTCAAAAAAGGAAAACTGTATTAAAATTGTAATACTCAATATATACCAATAACAAAAGATGAATACAAGTCATGTTTGACTTCTACAATTGCAAGAGGTGCTCAAAGTGGTTACCATTAGCCTCCAGACACTTCTGATGATACCAAACTACTGCTTGAGCAATACTGTGTCCACTTATATATATATTTTTTTTTGGCACCCCTGGTACATACATGTATGTAAATTTGAAGACATCAATATTTGAATAACTTTTTCCAAGAATTGGAAATAATTTTCAATAATATCAGTAGTATTTTCTATAAAAAGTGTTTATGGGCGGCCAATGGCTCAGTTGGTTAGAGCACGTGCTCTTAACAAGGTTGCCGGTTGGACTCCCGCATGGGACGGTGGGCTGCATCCCCCGCCATCCCTCGCAACTAGATTGAAAACAGCGAATGGACTTGGAGCTAAGCTTGCGCCCCCCACACCTAAGATTGAAAGACAACAACTTGACTTGGAGCTCATGGGTCCTGGAAAAACACAATGTTCCCCTTTCCCAATTCCCCAATAAAATCTTTTTTAAAAAAAGTGTTTATGATTTATAATAGAAATATTTTAAGTTACATGTAATTAAAGAGAATTCTGTCTGGGGCCGGCCGAGTGGCGCATTGGTTAAGAGCTGGCTTGGGATGCCAGAGAGCCCCGGTTCCGATCCCACATATGAGGGCCAGTGACACTGCCCTCTACAGCTAAGATGCTGAACAACAGCTCAACCTGGAGCTGGGCTGTCATGAGTCGCCTGCGATGGCGTAGGCTGCAGTGGGTTGCCATGGGCTACCATGTGTAGCCAGCAGCCGCGTGAGGGGCCAGCAGCCACTGTGAGCGGCCATCCAGAAGCCAGCTGATGTGCCTAGCCCGGGAAGAGCGCAATGATGGTGCCAACTTGGGCCAGTGAAGCAACGTCCTCCGCAACTAGACTGAAGAACAAAACGACAGCAACTTGTCTGTTCCCCTTCCCCCAATTCCCCAAAAAAAATTTTAAAAAAAAAAAAGAGAGAGAGAATTCTGTCTGTATTCATGCTCATTTTTCCTTACTAACTTGATCTTACAGTTTCACATGTCATTCTTTTTCTTTTTTAAAGATTTTATTAGGGAATTGGGGGAGGGGAACAGCATTGGGGAATCACGGAAGGGGAACAGACAAGTTGCTGTCCTTTTTGTTCCTTGTCTAGTTATGGAGGGCGTCGCTTCACTGGCCCATGTTGGTATTATCATTGCTCTCTTCCTGGGTGAGGCAGTCACTCACTGGCCATCGGACAGCCACTCACAGTGGCTCACGGCAGCTCACAAAAGTGCACACCAGCTGCCAGCCAGCCCCACTGCAGCCTATGCTGTTGCCAGCGACTGATGGCAGCCCAGCTCCAGGTCGAGCTGTTGTTCACCATACTAGCAGTAGAGAGAACAGCGTCACCGGCCAGCATATGGGATCCAAACTGGGGCCCTGCTGCTCAGAGCTGGAGTCCAAAGCCAACTCTTAACCAACATGCCACTCGGCCGGTCCTTACATGTCATTTTTTATTTGGCACTCTATTGATTCTCAGTCCAAGGATGAAGTTTAATGAAATCAGTAGATGAAAGAATAATGTGCATTTGTATATAGTTAGCAAAACACATGCACATACCTAACTCTCATTTGACTTCCTTTTAACTGGATGAAAAAGGAGAGAAGAGGGTACGTGAGAATACGTGATTCACCCATGCTGTTAGGAAAAAGTAGCAATGGGACTTGAAATCAAATTTTAAGATTCCAAACCCAAGGTTCTAGCCATGACAGGCTAAAAGGAAGTAAGGTGTTACATAAGGTGGTGGTTTTTAAACATATCCTATAGATTCTTGGACATTTCTTTCCTTCAAGTGGTGGAAGAATCTAATTTGCCTTCCTTTGAATATAGGCTAGACTCAATGACTCATTTCTAACAAAATCAGTGGAATTGAGGACTTCTGGTAAGATGGCAGAATAGACAATCTCTGTGCCAACTGCCTCCCAGGATCACACCAAAATTACAAATAATTTATACAACATTCAACCTCGGAAGTCCCCTGAACACTAAATGAACAGAACCTCTAAACGAAGGACTTAAAGAGGAGGCCATGTCAAGTTTGGTGATCTATCTAATACACCAAAGGAATCACAGAGCAACAGCCAGAATGAAGAAACAAAGAAATATGTCCCAAGTAAAAGATCAGAAGAAACCTCTAGAAATGGAACTAAATGAAACAGAGGTATCCAACCTTTCAGAGACAGAGTTTAGAACACTGATGATAAGAATGTTTGAGGAACTTAGTGAAGACATAAAGAAAAATAGAGAAATCATAAAAAACAACCAGTTAGAACTAAAGAATACAATAACTGAAA